CATCCTATACTCATTATGCCTATTGTTGTAGTTGCCTGTGGGGAAATCTCATAGCTGTCCCACAGGCAGTTCTCATTCCATCTAAAAGTGAACTACTGCTTATCCTGTAAGGGTATTTTAAACCTGCTCCATCATCTGTATCCACTTAGACACCCAAGCAAGAAGCTAAGGAACCATTACTCTTCATTCACTCTGACTCTTCTTCAGCCTCATGCCTGACTAGGTCCTGTCCATCTTATCTTCCTGTCTTTCAGAACATTGTTATATTCCTCTACCCCTGCTACCACTGTCTTTGTCCATGCCCTCATCATTTCTTTGACAGCAAACTTAGTAACTGGTTTCCTTTACTTCAGTAACATTCCCTTTTAAGCATCTACCAGCTAGCTACTTGGGTATCCTTCAGGACTATATACTTCTGCTTAGAGTGGTACCAGAGCTCTTCATGGCCTTCATTGCTTAATCATATTAAGAGCCCTAGCCCTTTTTTGTGTGGCCAGCTTCCTTACTGCTTAATCCTATTAGGTGTGCATATGTGGAGGTCAGAGGACAATTTAGGGGAATTGGTTCTCTCCTTCCATCATATGGGTCCCAGGATAGAACTTGGATCAATAGTCTGAAGAGCAAGGACCCCTACCCACTGAGCTACATTACTAGCCTTCCCATGGTGTTTTTTTTTCCTAATATTTTTTAATGGTATCTTTGAAAAGTACTACAAAGTTAGAAGATTGATAGACATACTCCTCTATAGTGGGGATAAAAAGTGAATCAACTGTAATTTATAAAAATATAAACAAATTTTTAAACAGTGAAAAAACATGCATTATAAGTATATATGAGTAGAATTTTCAATAATAATGCCAAAATGCCAGTAATTCAAAGTTTTATTAGTAAGATAGAGACTCTTTTTACAATGTTCTTCCTTTTCATTGTAATTTGGTTGGTGGTGGTTTCCCTCATTAAAGTTAGTTCCAAGGCCACCCCTTGACACTCTGGAAAATATTTTCACAGTTATTCATAAAAGTAACCTGGGAGCTGGGCATAAAGTTAGAGACTTATAATTCCATTGCTAAAAAGGGTGAGGCAGGAAGCTAATTTTTTTAAGAGCCCATTTACAGTAGCAGGAATAACTTATTAGATTTGGGCCCAGTTTACACTGCCACCTGGCACAGTTTGCGAACCCAGGAAAACCTGTCCTGAAACCCAACAGGCCTCTTACCCTAGCTAACCATGTCCGGCACTGCCACCGAGAGAAGGGTGAGGCAACCTGTATCACAGAGCTATCAATGATTATGGCTTGGTGGAAGCAGAATGAATTCTGCAACAAGGTGTGCAGGATAAAGAGATCCAGGACTTCTTCCAGAGCTCAGGAAGCCTGAAAGATGAGATCAATTCAGGAGTCTCTGGGACAGTCTTAAAATTTACCTCCCCACAAAATGACCAAGTTGTTACAGAGATTTACCAACAAATCTCACCTCAGCAGAAAATGGAGAAACATTTTCAATGGACTATCATTTCTGTAAGCTATACAGAGGCATGTTAGTGATGTTTGCATTTGCATTTTTGAAGGGTAAAATAAGGCAAAATACTTAATTTTGCTCTTGTGAATAAGTCATGTTCTAGATGCTGCCTTGAAATAAACCCTCTGAAAAGAATATATATATATATGTATATGTGTATATATATATGTATATGTATATATATATATATGTATATATGTATGTATATATTAGACTGGTCAAGAAGGTTGAATAAGGAATCATGGAAACTTAAAAGCCTAAGTTTGATAGCTAGCATCATTCATAATTTATAAAATATGTAATAATTTTAAATTATAGAGAAAGAAATCAGAGAAACAACAACTATCACAATAACCTCAAACAATATAAAATATCTTGTGGTTACATTAACCAAGCAAGTGAAAGACTTGTATGCTAAAAACTTTAAGACATTGAAGAAGATGTTCAGAAGATGGAAAGATCTCCCAAGCTCATGGTTGGGTAGGTAGGATTAGCATAGTAAAAATTGGCCATCCTACCAAAAGCAATCTACACATTCATTGCAACCCTCATTGAGACTTTAACATAATTCTCCCAGGTCTTGAAAGAAAAATTTTCAGCTTCATATGGAAATGCCAAAAACCCAGAATAGATAAAACAATCTTGAATAATCAAAGAACTGCCTTTATCCCTATTTTCTAGGTTTTTAAAAATTTTTGTTTATAGGAAGATACTTTGCAAGCTTCCAAAAAAAAAAAAAAAAAAAAGATATAAGCACTGATCCAGTCACAGATCCTTTGGTCTACAATGCTGTCCCGACTGCAAATTATGCTAGGGCATTGGTGGCATAGCACAAAGCTTGTGGGAGTAATCAACCAATACCTGATTTAATGCCCACTGCATGAGATGGAACCCGAGACTGCTTGGGTGATTAGTAACCTGACATTAGATAGTTCAGGGACTGAGAGTAAAACCAGATGGGGACAAATACAGAGACCCACATGTAAATATTACACTGAGAGTGAGAGACCTTGAAACTCTCAGCTGTAAATGGGATGTTTCTATCAAGTCGTCCCTCCCCCCGTTAGGGCTCAGGGAATCCCACAGAAGAGGAATCAGAGTGTAGGGGCCAGAGGGATTAGAGGACAGCAAGAAAACAAGGCCCTCTAAGTCAACATTAGCCAAACACTTATGAACTCACAGAGACTGAAGCACCATGCATAGGTGCTTATGCATGGTCCTCTGTGCTTATTATATTATGGTTTCCAGTTTAGTGCTTTTAATGGGGTTCCTGAGTGTGTAGATGAGCAGGTTTCTGACTCTGGTCCTTTCTTTTGGGCTCCTCTCCTGTTTGTTTTTGTCTAATTCTGATGTTAGTTTATGTTTTATCTTATTATACTTTATTTATTTATCTCATAACTAAAAATGTTTACCCAAAGCTTACCAAAAGCAAAACCCATTTTTACCACCATACGCTCTTAATAACAATGAATGTTACACATTCTTTGTTATTAGCCAACTGACTATCATGTAGGGTTCAATGTATGTGGTGAAGCACTACCTCCAAGACTGCAGAAAAGTTAGTTAAACTTGATGAATTGCTAATGCACTGATAATGCTCAGGTTTAACATGTAGTACATCAGAGGCATTTCTTTAAATGGTTAACAGAGCTGGGCGGTGGTGGTGCATGCTTCTCTTTAAACCCAACATTCAGGAAGCAGGGGTAGGTGGATCTCTGAGTTCAAGGACAGCCAGGGCTGCACAGATAAATCCTGCCTCAAAACGGGGAAAAAAAGTTAACAGAATACTGGTGATAGTTTGCACAATAGTTAGGATGTAATTAATGCCACTGAACTGTATTGAGACTTACAATGCTCCCCACTTAGAAATGCTTCACTTTGAATTTTTTTAATTTATTTATTTTTACATTTTTTTATTAATTACACTTTATTCTCTTTGTCTCCCCCCCCCCCCCCGTGGTTCCCTCCCTCCTCCCATCCCAATCCTTCCCTTCATCCACTTTGAATTTGTATGCTACATTCTGGTACAAAAGCAATGTGTGTTCAATATTAACTGCATCTTCTATTTAGAATTTTGGTTTTTTCTGGCTAGCAAGAGCTATGCAGTATAATATCCTCCTTTAATCTTTGGCAACACCTGTCGGCTGCTTAATCACAGGGGGAAACAGATTCTGGAGTTGACTGTTGTTGAGACGGGACGTTGGTTAGTTAAATGCATCTTGAAGGTGTGTTATTTCAACTTATGATGAATTTAACATAACGTAACCCACCCCTGGTAGGCTGAGAAGCAGCAGATTAAAAAAGAAACTATTTATTTATATTTTACCATAATAAAAATAATTATTAAAAAAAATCCCAAATTACTGCAGAAATGCTGTAGTTTCTGGTTCCTGAAATATTCCTGAAGTCCAGAGACTATAGTTTGAATATCCTCGGCCTACAGTTTATGACCTACAAAATCCTTTATTCTCTATGTCTTGCTGTCTTGTGGCCTTATTATCCTCCATCTCAGAACTTTTATTGTGCTCATATGGCACTCCCTGTAGATCCTATATGTGAAACCATTTTTGCAAACATGTGTCTCAGCATATGTCATTTTCTTTGCCTGAAATGTGTACACACTTCTTCCTACCTTCCCCTTCATCAGCATTCTCCTACTCATCCTTCACGATCCAGCTGGAAATTCAGTTCTGTTCCCGAGGCCATTTTTTACTTTCTCGGGTAAAGTTGACTGCTCTCTCCTGTGCAAACCCATTTTAACTGTACATCTTTTTTTCTTCTAGCATTACATTCTCAGTTATTGGTTTGTAGGTCAACCTCTTCTTTTAGGCAGAAGTCCTACTCAAAAATCAACTCATTTAATTATTTTTTAAAAGATTTATTTAGGGGCTGGAGAGATGGCTCAGTGGTTAAGGGCACTGTCTGCTTTTCCCAAGGACCCAGGTTCAATCCCCAGCACCCACATGGCAGCTCACAACTGTCTGTAACCCCAATTCCAAGGGATCTGACACCTTCACACTAATGCACATCAAATAAAGTTAAATAAATTATTTTTTAAAAGATTTATTTATTTTTATGTGCATTGATGTTTTTGCCTGTATGGATAGCTGTGTGAGGATGCCAGATCCTTTGGAACTGGAGTTACAGATAGCTGTGAGGTGCCCTGTAAGTGCTGAGAATTGAACCGAGGTCCTCTGAAAGAGTGGTGCTTAGTCATAGTGATTGTTAATCTATCTCTGCTTTGTGTCTATGAGAAAGGATAAGTGCAATGTACTCAACTTTACAAGCCTAACATTTGGACCTTTGTCCCTTGAACTTTACTTAAACAATCACCACTCTCAGCAAAATGAGTAGAATTAAGACATTACTGTAGTATTGATGGGATTAATTCTATGAGGTCTTTGTGTTACTTTCTCAGGAAAAAAACGTAGATATTTGTTACATGTTTTCCCAAGCAGTTTAAATTTTGTTTCCTGCTATTAGGTATTAATATTAACCGAGGCCTTCTTTGTCTCGGAAACGTGATCAGTGCTCTTGGAGATGACAAAAAGGGTAACTTTGTGCCCTACAGAGATTCCAAGCTGACTCGACTGCTTCAAGGTAAGCCCAAAAGTGCCTCTGAAATAAGAGAGTAGCTTGGAATGATAGTGTCGAAAGTAAAGATGAAACAGGCAAAAAGTTAATGGGTTGTTACATTCACAGCTGGTTGATAAATAAGTGAAATAGTTCCTGGCAACCAGGTTTCTAATATAGTAGAAGAAAAAAAATCATCTTTTCAGGTTGCTTTAAGAATCAACGAATCTGTAGAATGCCAACTGTACTTAGGACTTTGTAGCTGAATATGAACTTGGACCCTGATTGTTTTAAACGTGATTATTGCTGAACTCAGTTTCTCTTGAATATAGTGACATTCAAGATTGAATTCTAAGATCTATAACATTTTATACATCTGAAATTTAACTATTTTTATACTGAAAAAAAATTAAAATTTTATAGCTATCACAGTAGGTGGCCCTTTACTCACGAGTATATGTGCAGCACAAATTGCAATCTGTGAGCTATAAAAAGAAAAAAAAAGAGATGAATTTAAGAGGGGGTAGAGGGTGGACCTAGGAGGAACAGGGTAAATAGAATCAAAATATATTGTATGCATGTGTGAAATTCTCAAACAATAATTAGAATTGTTTTTTAAAATTAAAGCCAAATAGTCCTGAAAATAAAATCAAAAGTGTCACTAAGAATTTTTTCTTTCATCTCTGAATATAAATTAATTAGTCCAAATAGGCAGCTTTTGCTTGCATCCTACTTGATTAATTTCATTTGCTTGTTGTTGTTTTTCAGATTCTCTAGGAGGCAATAGTCATACTCTTATGATAGCTTGTGTGAGTCCTGCTGATTCCAATCTAGAAGAAACATTAAATACCCTTCGGTATGCTGATAGAGCAAGAAAAATCAAGAACAAACCTATTGTTAATATTGATCCCCAAGCAGCTGAACTTAATCATCTTAAAAAACAGGTATAACATTTTATAAGAAAGTTACAAGTATGTGAATGGGATGATAGAGCTTCTGTTTCTTTGTTCTATTTATAATTTTAAAATAAAACCCAAAACTATATTTGCTATCCATTTAAGATTGGGAGTGCCACTGGAAATTTTACTCATAAAAAATAAAGAGTAGAACATATAGCCAGAAAGCTTTGCAAGAGCCAAATCTTGAAATTCCTTAATATGTTCTGTTAAAGATCTTGGAACTGGAAAGTACTAAGAGCTACAGATTTTAAGTAAGAGAATAACATTATGAAATGTAGTTGAGGGAAATATGTTTTCTGTACACTTAAATACAGAAAATAGGTAAACGGTAGCTGACTAGAATGAAGAAAATAAGCCACACTTTGTAATAACCCAGGTGAGAACTATGCCCTGAATTAAAAATGGTAGCAATAATGATGAAAGAAAGGTAACAGATTAAAAAACAAATAAGAAGAAAGTTGAGTATGAGGGATTTGCTTCGTTGAAGAGTTAATGTAGGAAAAGAAGTGTTGGTAGGGGGAGCCGAGTTTGATTGTCAAGTTTCTTACATGCATTATTGAGTAAATAGCCATATTGATCAAGGAATGCAGATGGAAAACCAGAGTTGCACATGAAAACAGAAATGATATATTTAGTTTGGGCCATTTTAAATTTTAAAGATGCGTGGGAAATGTGAATAAAAATACTCAGATATAGCTGGCTGGCTACATGGGCTTGATGTAGAGGGTCTCAGATGAAGAATAAAGAGGCAGCTTTAAGAGCATTACCATTTAGATAGTATCTGAACTTAGTAAGTAGGTGAGCACTCACTGAATGTTTGCTAAAGGACCAAACGAAGAGGTCCAGACTCACAACTTGAGAACACCAGCACTTCAAAGAATGGGAAAAGGGACAGGAAAGAATAGACAAGAAGGAAACCAATGATGCCACCAAAACCAAGGAAAGATCATTTCAAGGAGTGTTGCCATGAGGATAAATTCACAAAGAAGCATAAAGATGAAAAGTATCCATTGATTTTTTTTTTTTTTAAATCTACAGGGAAGCTGTTGGCAACTGCTGCAGGTTAGGGAAGTGATAAGAGGCAGTCACTAAATGAGAAATAGAATAGTAGATAAGTGAATGGCTTTTCATTCAAGGTGGCAAAATGAGAAAAGGCAATCGCACAGGTAATCAGGGGGAAAGAAATATAAGTTTGTTTTTTTAAAGATGGGAGAGCCTTGGATAAATGAAAGAACTAATCAGAAGAGACTTAAATGGAGAGCAGGGACTCAGGGCAGATCATCTTCCAATGGCGAGCAGTTGGATAATAGGGTAGGGAGATGCTTGAAGAGACCATACATGGCTTAAAATTACTCAACAGAAATGGAAAGGTGGCCGATTCTGTAAATATAACTGTAGAGCAGCTCACAGTACTGGGTCGGAACTGAGGAGGCAGGAACTGTATTGCTATGGGAAGTTTTGAGGATTTCTGCTTGCTTTGTTTTTTTGAGACAGAGACTTATATAGCACAGGCTGGCCTTGGACCAGTTATGTAGTTGAAGATCCTCCTGCTTATGACTTGTTAGTGGTGGGATTACAGGTGAACACCACTATGTTCAGGTGTTTATCTAGGTTTTTGTTTTGTTTTCCTTTTTTGTTTTGTTTTGTTTTATTTTGTTTTGAGACAGGATCTCACTGAAGTCCTGACTGGCATGGACTCACTATGTAGACCAAGCTAGCTTCAAATTCAGAGATCAACCTGCTTCTCCCTCTTGAGTGTTAAGATTAAAGGTGCACATCACCTCACATTGGACCTATTGATGCAGGTTTAAAAGAATCAAGTTTTCCTGCATGCTACAGAATAGGACTTGATTTCCACCTGGAACTGTATTTACCAGCCATCCAGTGCTCAATTCTTCTTCAGCCTTCCTCCACAGTGATAATGACTGTATAACCTCTTTTCTTCCTTTTTCTTCTTCAGGGTCTCTAGAAAATCTTAGTAAATTAGCTGTTTGCTGGGTCTTCTGAATTATGAAGCATATTCAATTCTGTCTTCCTATTTTCTATGATGTTTATTTCTATTAGCAAAAAAATGCCCATATTTCTATTCACTTATCTGTTTACTCATTCTAACAGTAAATGTTTATATAATGCTTATGTGGCAGGTAAAATACATTGTTGAGCAAAACTGCATAGTTTCTGCCTTTGTGGAGCTATGGTCTGGTGTGAGTGACAATACTAAAACACAATCAGTTAATGATATATTGTTATAAACCGAGGTAGTGTGGTATAGTATACTATGACAGAATGTAATAAGATCTTCTGTTATACCCAAAAGACTTCCCTGATATAGCAGTGTTTGAACTGAGATCTGAGGGCTTTCTGTAGAAAATAAACTACAAGAAATAAGAAAGAGTTCTAGGGAGAACAAACAGCATTGACAGCAAAATATCGTATTAGGAGCACTGGCACTACAACCAGGTTACCCAGGTTTAAGCCCAAGCTCTCTTTCTTACTGTGTACTTTGTAAAAGGTCTTTGTGCCTCAGTTTTCCTGTTTGCGTAATGGAAACAATAGCACCTGCTTCATAGTGTTTTGTGGGTGTTAAATAAATTGTTATATTTGAAGAGCTGAAAAAAAGGCCAGTGTGGCTAGTGTATAGAAAGCAAGAAAAGAGTATTACAGTGTGAGGCTAAAGGTAAAGCTGAGATCTAATCAAGCACTCATGTACTTTGCAAAAACTTATTTTAAGGTAGATAGTAACAAACACTGATAGTTGACATTGCTAAAAGATAGCTTGGACACTGTGTGAAGTGGATTAAAGTGGTGCAAGAATATGTGGATACCACTTAAGAAGGCACTATAGTCCAAGTGAGAGGTACTGGGCACTTGAAATGAGTTAGGATAATGGAAGTAGAGATAGGGGGAAAGTAATGAGCAAACTAGATAAGGAAATGAGGGCATGACTCCCAGTTTGGATGCATAGAACTAGATATACACTGACCTGGCAGAGGACCGACCAGATCTGAGGATAGTAGGCAATGAAATGGAAAATCAGGTCAAATAGAAGGTTTAAAATTATGAAAGATAAGAGTTAAGATAAACTTGGAAGGCATGGATTTGTATGTGGTATTTAAAGAATAGATGAAAATTTGAGACAAATAAGAAAATAGTCTAGATGATAATGATCTTTGGGAGACTTCACCATTTATGGGATGAGTGAAACAAAGATGAACCAAGAGACAGCAATCAGAAACTTTGAAGGGAAATTAGAAACTATACTATCTGGTAAGCCAAATGCTACCAGTCAGTCACATAAATGAACACTAAAAAGTGCCTGTTGTCTTTAGTGATTTGTAGATCATTGTTGACCTTAGTATAAAAATGTGGGCAAACATCATATTGGAATAGGTTAAGGAGGAAATGAGAAGTGAGTAAAAGGAAATAAAGACTATTAGTGTGAACATTTTTCTCAAGCTTTGGGAGCAGGAGGAGTGGGGCAAGAGTGAACGTATTTTAATAGGAAGGAGATAATAGAAGGAGAAGTTGAAAGTGTAGAAGACAGAAGCAACAACAAAAAGAATAAGATTTATGAAGAGGCAGAAAAGAAGTGAGGCTCCAAGGCATGATCACAGTGAGAAGCCTGAGGAGGCAGAATGGCTCCTCTTTTGTCACAAAAGAGAATGTTTACACTTAAGCCCTAAGGCACTTTACTATAACTGACAACTTAGTGTTGCCAGTCTTATATTATTTCCTTCTCATTAGACTTGTAGGTTGTTCTTCTTCAACTACATGTAGCCTTAAGAGTAGAGACCATGTTTTATTTTACATTGCATGTCCCAGTGTTAAGATAAAAGAGACGGCTCATCATCTACATAGCAGTTGTTCATGTAATGCTTATCATTTTATCGTTGATTCATTAACCCTGATACCTTCTGTAGTGCTTAAGATGTACTTAAGGCTTCATGGGCATTGAGTAAAATTACCCTATTGCTAGTTATAGTGACTTCATTACAAAGAGATAAGGAGCATTTTGCCAGTTGAGGTTGATAGCCTTGAATGTGTATTCTGGCCTGGCCTGGAACTTAGGAACTCTCTGTGTAACCAGGGCTGGCCTCAGACTTTTAATTCTCCTTCTTAGCTTCTCGGGTGCTGGAATTACAGATGTATGCACATACCTGGTGATAAGTACTTTTTGATTGGTGATTAGCTGATTACTTTCATTGCTTCTCTCAGGTCCAACAGCTGCAGGTCTTGTTGCTACAAGCCCATGGAGGTGCCTTGCCTGAAAATATAAAGTAAGTCATAGATTAATTGTAAAGGTGTATTATTTTAGGGCTTATTTGGCCTGATGGCTGTTTTCCTCTGATAGCCTATAGAGTGTCTCAGGATAGTTGGTGATGTCTAGGAAGTGATTTTGCCAAACTTGCTGAGTACTTAGGACTTAACTAGTTATATATTTTTTTTAATTTACTTTAATCCTGATCAGAACCCCTCCCTCTTCTTCTCCCAGTTCCACCTTCCCTCCCTCTTCCCAATTCCCCCCACCATCCACCCATCCTAGGATATCAAGTCTCATCAGGAGTGAGCACATTCTCTTTTTCTGCCAAGGGGAAGTGATTGAGAAACAGGCAACAGAGTCCATGTTGCTAGTTGTCCTTTAAGTAATCTGGCATATTGGAAAGAGCATGGGTTCTAGACTCCGAAATATATTAATTAGAATGCTCCTTGAAGAAGTGCTGTCTCTGCTATCTACTTATTTATTTGACTACTTAGTCATATGCATAGGTGCATGAATATTTATATTAGTCTTGGCTAAACAGCCAACATTATCATTTGGCTTCTTTCTTTGTCCATTCAGAGCTCCTTCAGGTTGACTCTTAAGTTCTTTAACAAGTCCTCAAGTGTATGAGCATTATCACAAGATGTTACAAATGATCCTCCTTGCACAGGGTCTGGAATTAACCATACCTCCAAGGAGCTTTAGTTTCTTGTATTGAAAAATGGTGTTTAGAAACTAACATTTGTGTGGTTTCTCTAACTCTGCTCCTTGTTGCTGGGCCTCGTGGGTGGGTAGAACTCAAATACCCACATGTATAATAATCTACACATTCACATTCATCTACATTTTTGTATATATCTGTATTGTTTGCATATTAAAAAACCACAGTTTTCTACTGATAACTCTTGCAGGGTTTAATGTAGTTTGACATCTTAGATTTAATTATATCTTAAGTATGCCTAAATTTTTTTTTAAGTCCAGAGAGGCTAAATATGTTACTAACTTTAAATTGTCCTTTCTTTCTCAACTCTACCTGTTCCTTTCAATTCCATCCATCTACTGATAAATCTGTTCCTAATAACAGAGTTACAGTAAATCTTAAACCCATACATTTTGAAAACATACTGTGTTCAAACCCTCAGAAGGATCACTCTCTCTCCCAGCCACATTCTCAGGGAGCAGTGATCTGGACTCCTTTCTTCCCACCACAATGAAATGGTATGGCCTCTAGACGGTTTCTAGGTTGATTTCCCCAGAAGAGCCTAACAGCCATTCTAAGTGCTGTATTCTGAATCCAGTCTCCCAGCTAGGCTGGCTACCCTCAACTCCCATGCACCTCAGTGTGTTACACACAAAGAGCTCAGGCTATAAACAAGGAAGAAAGGAGCTTAGTTAGCATGCCACAGAAGACATTTATCATTTCTCCCTCCAAAAGTAAGAAACTCAACTCACTTCATTTGCAGTCTGCATATCTATACATTCCATTCTGGTATACACACTAAGATAGTGTCAGAACTGTCTCAGAGATCCCAAGTAAAGTTATCACTATGACCAAAGCAATTTGGGAAGGAAAGAGGTCTTTTTTTTTTTCTGTTTTGTTTTGTTTTGGTTTTGTCCTAATAAGTAGTTTTTGGTTACCTTTCTAGGTGTTTGTTCCAGTGCTCAAAAGGATTAGCCATTCTCTAGGAGGGAACATGCCCTCTCCAGGTGCTTATTCTTTCCCTCATAGTAACTACCTGCAGCACCTGCATAGGATGTGAGGAGCAGAGGCCAAGAGACATGTGTATGACTTTATGAGTCCATGTTTGTCTCTGGCCTACTCATCTAGGACATTAATTTCCTCGTGGAGTGAGAGTGTCCTAGCTTGACTGGCTGTAAAATAAAAGCCAAAACCAGTTCTTCATTCTATGCAATTTCCTGATGCACTACAATTATTTCATGTTTGTTTTTTGAAGGTATGTCCATGGGAGTGCCTAAGCGTGTACATTAATAAGAGTCTCAGTGATAAAAGCATAAAAATAAAGTGTAGCCTTCTATAAAATGGGTTAAATTTTGACCCATTAGAATGGTTAAATGTTATCACTATGACCAAAGCAATTTGGGAAGGACAGAGGGGTTTTTTTTT